AGTGGGGGCAGGAAGAGGCCGAGGGGACAGAGCAGCGGCAAGGCTTGGGGGAGGGAGTGGAGTGGGGCAGGGGCAGAGTCTGCAGCAGAAGGTTTGCTCTGTGCTCCACATTTGGAACATTGGGGGCGGGGGCTGCCCTGGGTCCCACACCCCCTTAGGGATGGGCCTGATTGAAATCATGCCCTTAAGGGTCAGTTGGGGCAGGAATTTCCTATCAGTGGAAGAGTCGCAGTTAGAATATTTCTAGAATGTTAGTGAATTCATAATACCCGCACACACACCCCACCTGCTGTGCATCACCCCAGGGTTTGAACTCAGGTCCTCCAGCCCAAACTGCTGTCAGCTGAGAATGGACAGAGGGGAAAAGCTGCAATAGCAGAACATAAACATTGCCAGAATGTCTTAAACTTAGCGCCCACCTACCCCTGTGTCTTGTCTCCAACAAGGACTGGCATGAAATGATTTAGAGGATGGGGCAAAGAACCTTGCAGTAGATACACATGGGATTAGTTGGAGATGGGCTTAGCTCTGAGGCAGGATTTCTATCCTCTCCCAAACTCCTTAGTGTTAGAATTAACTGTTGCAACCCTGAATATTCTTGATAGCCTCCAGGGCTTCTTTGAACCTCTTGACCTTGATAAGGTCCAGTGGCAGGCAGTTCCAAGGTGTAATCACACACTGAGTATTCCATCAGTTTTGGATTTGCCACCTGTGGGTTGACTTGAACATCCCCTGCCAGCAGTTATGCGCTATGTGGGACAGGCACTGGAAAGCCAGGGGGCTTGGGTTGTGTCCCTGAGGGAAGGAAGCCCACTCACTGGAAAAGCCATTTTGAGAAGTCCTGCACCATAGGACCAGGCTCCTTCCCATGCACCATAGAGACAGGCTCCTCACCCCCCCCTCCCCCACTACTGTCATGGGCAGGGAAGGTTAGCAAGGGAGCCCAGCAGCTTGGCCTGCCCTGCCCTGGCTGCCAGGGGGCTTGGGTTGTGTCCCTGAGGGAAGGAAGCCCACTCACTGGAAAAGCCATTTTGAGAAGTCCTGCACCATAGGACCAGGCTCCTTCCCATGCACCATAGAGACAGGCTCCTCACCCCCCCCTCCCCCACTACTGTCATGGGCAGGGAAGGTTAGCAAGGGAGCCCAGCAGCTTGGCCTGCCCTGCCCTGGCTGTCCCATGGGAGGGTGGAGAACAGGAAAATACAGCTAAAGAAGAATGTGGGGCCACAGACCAAGCTCTTCCTGGGGCAATGGG